ACTGTGAAGTTTATCATGGAGATGTATTTTCTGTTTCGCTCACTTTGTCTCGAAGCAGTTGTTACCTAGCAAAGACACCGTTACATTCATTCATTGATACCCTGTCATTCTAAAACGGTGGTACGTCTTAAGTTCTGCCGAAATTTCTGGCTGGCGTATAGTGCATAATCGATATTGTGGTGATGACTAGTAGTACGGAAAATAGAATTTACAATCTGACGACTTTTGTGCGAAATACAGCTTACTATAGGAGGTCTTCACGTCAATGCCCAGAAGTCAGTCATTTTCAGAATCTTTCAGGGAACAGCAGCTGAGTAGTTTGAAACAGTTTAAACAAGTATACCAGTTTTAACAAGTATGTGAAACAGTTTACCAAGTATACCTGTTTAGGTACCGCCGACCCACCCTTGCTAGGGTTAGTATCAGCCAATGAGCATCAAATAAGTGAATGGCTTTTTGCTTTCAGCAGCCATTCGCTCTGTCAACGATGTTGTATAGCGCTTGAATCGGTTGAACAGTACGGCGATTGTATTTTAATTTCTTTACACTGTGCATTCTCCATTTGAATTCGGTATCATTATTATTTTTACTGTGATATATTCAGAGGCGGTATCGATAGCTCCCCAGATCATTGGGCTTCATTCTGTCATTCCGTCTCCTACGGATCGTGGCGGTGTTTCTTGTACGAGAGGCGGTCCTGCGTCCTGTGCACTGCATGCACTTAAATACCATGGAACCTTGGCCTACTTAAATGGCACCCTAGGCGTCTAGAAGCAAGGGGCGATGCAATCAGCTGCTACTGTAAAGCGAGAAATTAATTTTTCATTCTTTATACTGCGCATTCGCAGTTTGAATCCGGTATCATTATTTTTACTGCGTAATTTACTTTGTTTCATGGTTTTACATTTATGGCTAGTCAGCTGTCATGAAGAGAAACTGTAGAAGCAAGACGTATGCTTCAACATTGCGCACGTACCGTAGGTTTGTGCGTGAGTACACAAGAACAGCATACCTTCCCAGTTGTTTCCAGGTCATCTACTTGCTACCTTTTTCTAGGTTAGTTACCCATAAAGATTTAAACTTCAAGATCGTGTAACGAATGATTCTGTTATCTCCCGGTGTATATATCCTCTGCTAAACTTGAGTTTACCATACAGAAGTTAGTTATGTAAACAGCTTGTAGAAGTCGAACCCTTTATTCTAGTCCACTAGCTTCTTGCGTGAGATAGGAAATGCGGCAGACTAGCCGGCCATCGTACAACATGGGTGAACGAAATCTGTGTTCGACAAGCTTGTGATTTTTTGCACTGCAATCATTCCCTTATCACAAAAGTTGAAGAAGTAGGAAAAAGGCGAAACTTACAGTAAAGACTTTCTGTTACTGCAAACATCCTGAGATAATGATTATGGTATACAACCATAATTACCGCATGGTTAGTGTTTTCAACTTGTTCCATGATGTATATTTTGGCGCATGCACTGCATAGGAACTTCTAAATTTAAGGGCCTGGCCACGTTTGTTAAAGAATTACGCAAGATATAAGTCAAAGCTGCTGAATAACTTAAACGTGAACCACCCTGTCAATCAGATTTACTATTGGTACTGGATATTTCTGTTTTTAGACTTTTCTGACCAGCATATCAATTTCGGCCATAGCCACGAACGGCGTCATCGAAAGTATGAGCCATGATCCACCTGTTACTCTTTCGATTTTTCACTGAACATGCGCACTGCTTACAGGTGGTGGAGCTTATTTCCTGATCTCTCGAAACCTTGGACCGGAATTTGGAGGTGCTGTCGGCATCTTGTACTATTTTGCTAACGCCGTTGGTGCTTCTATGTATCTCATCGGTGGCGTCGAGATTCTACTGGTAAGTTTGCGTATGGCATGCATGTTTTCTTATT